AATAATATTATATATATATATATATATATATATATATATATATACATGTAAAGAATAAATCAAGTGATGGAGAGAGTGAAAAAAAAATTTACCTGAAAAAAAGATTTTTGTTGAATAATAATGGTTTGTAAAATAAAGAATACTTCAAATGATAGAGAAGAAGAAAAAGAGATTTATTGATGGACAAATCATAGAGGAGCACATGGAAGGGTTTGGAGGTTTCACCTCCAATAATGAAGATGAAAAGGTTGTAGGTTAAACTTTTTAAAATTACCAAAAGAACCTTATTATAATGAATTTCATGTTTTAAATATAGGGATTAGAAAGTCTTTTACATATATCAAATATTTTAAAAAATAAAAAAATCTAAGAAAAAATAATGAGAGGTTTCTAATGTTTAGAGGACGACACCTTATTATGTTTGGTTTCTTCTTTAAGAAGTAAAAATATTAGAAAATAATTTTAAAGCCCAATGCTAAAGAAGGAAAAAATCGCAATAAACCAATCAACATCGATGTCTTAAAAACCATATGAAAGATTACCGATCTTAAAAAATCATAAACCATCTTTCTTGATACACTTTTCTAGCATCAATGCAAAAATATTCTAGCATAATGTTTATCAAGTTCATGGATAAACAAACAAAAAAATACTTATTTTTATGTTCTACATATGCTTAAAAATGTTACCTTATTTCATCAATGATTTATATGTCACTTTATCCACACACAAAAAGGATTCATATGTTTGCATAATTCCAATTTTAGTGGGAATGCCTTCAATTAAAAGACGAAGTACTATACTTACATCAACAAAAACCCATATTATATGTCTTCTTAAATGGCGCCTCAAATCAACAAAAATGCAAATCATCTCCACAAAAACTGAATAGATGAAGAAGTGAGAAATTAAGAGAGATTGTCATGCTTAAACAATGTTACCTTATTTCATCAAGGATTCATATGTCACTTTATCCACACAAAAAATATTCATATGCCTACATAATTTCAGCTTTAGTGTGAATGTCTCCGATTAAAAGACGAAATACTATACTTACATAAGCAAAAACCCATACCGATTTGTCTTATTGAATGACGTCTCAAATCAACAAAAATATACATCGCCTCCACAAAATTATAACTGAATAGAGAGGAAGAATTAAGAGATTAATAGATAGATTGTCATAGAAGCATACCATAAAGAGAAGATGAAAAATTATAACTGAAAAGAAAAAATTAATGAGAGTTAAAGATCAATTATTAGAGAGGACATGAATAGGTTGAAATAATTAATGAATATCAAAAATCAAAAATAAATATTGAGGTGAGAAAAACTTGAGAAAAAGTGATAAAGGATAAAACATTTTCTAGTTTTGAGAAGAGGCCACGTCATTGTACGTGGTTTTTTCTTTAATATATATAGATATTTAATATCTTTAATTTCAAATATATAAATAATTTTATTTATTTGTAAAATTTATGTCAGTTTTAATTTATATTAGTAATTTTTTTTCTCACAAAAACGATCCAACCATAATAAATTACGTCCGTCATAACTCATATTTTTTAAGAGTTATACAACAGTCGTTAATCTCTAAACGAGCATGACATACTTATACGGACCTGAACAAGATGAGACTTTTTTTGGATTGTTGTGAAGAGACCGTTCTCCATACCATATTTTTAGTATGGGAATGTGTCGAGCATGATGTAAATTGAGAATCGAGCATCGAGGGAAAACTCGAAATTTATAGAGCATTTTGTGGTACTATTAAGGTTTAGACGCTTATGAAGTTCAAACGTGAAATTTAAAATGTTGTACGGATGCAATAATTAGTTATAACTTGAATTACTGATGTCCACCGATGAGTGTTTTAGAACCCGAACCTACTCTTTTTAAATGGTACAAGTGTAGACAACTAACAAAAACCATTTGAAAGCAATAAGCATTTACCCTTGTTTGCTAATTTTAAAACATCATTGAATTTCAAATCTGTACACAACAAAACAAAAACTAATCAGATGTTATACGTTATGGATTAATGATTTCTATATTAACCATTTGTTACATTATTCATTTAAAAAGTATTTTCATATGTAATTTAATTTAAAAATTCAAACTTTTGTCAAAGAACTTCTAAACACCGATGACTCATGTGGGAAGGTGGTGTAATTACTTTTTGCAGGGAGGGAGTAGCTGTTATGTTTAATATATATATATATATATATATATATATATAATTGAATAAAAAATTTAAAATAACTGGTGATTTAAAGTTATATGATTAAGTAATTTAGTTTGAATTTCATTATCAGAATTATATCTTAAAATTAGTCAAGGATAATGTTATTGTGCTTATCGAAATTTATGATGAAGTTGTTTACCAAATTAATGATTGTACTTTTCAAACTTAATCACTAAAATAAAATGCAAAGCAAAAGCACTTTTTGTGGAACAGCGGTGTGAACAATTAAACAATTGGCATTGGTTCCCCTTGGGAATCAAGTTGGTTGTTTTGCATATTATTGTCAATTTGTTCAGCTTATTCAGCGCTTCACGGATATATGTATCTGTTGTTTGTTGGTATGTGCGTCATTTATACTGAATGCTTCAATTATTGATGATTATAATTATTTTAAAGTACATTGATTATCAGTTTAGTATGTAATGCAATTTGTATTTTTTTTTAATTCAGACTAAAAACCTGCATTTTACTTATAAATTTTGATTTTTTTCGTAATACCCATAATTTCGTCTGAGGAAAATATGTTGTCTCGCTTAGTTCACAAGCAAAACATCAAAACAGCATTCAAATACATAGAAATCTCACATGCAACCTAAACAAAATTACTCCCGTTTGCTTTGATAGCCTTAAAGACCATGAAATTGTACATGGAACTCACTTGATTGCGAAGATGTAGTGTATGTTCCCAAGTTAACACCTACACACGTTACAATACATGCAGTAGTCGGTGGTTGATCATGACACGAATGGGTTATTTCAAAACAAAAAACTTACTCTGTGCACATAACTGATGCACAATGTTGCCAAATTCTTCACAAAACTCACACAACCATGCCTTTTACAGATATAGAGATTGCACGGTGCCTGATTCTAGGTTCCTATACAGATTTTTCACCATTTTTGAAATAACTATTTCCCTTTTACTTTGTTTCCACTAATTATGTATGCATAAGAACCGTATTAACATGTACTACAACATCATGGCATGCAAGGACATCAACAATTCATATCAACATGCCCTAAATGGCAGTAATCCCCCTCTATATATTTTGGGGGTATATCTCGTTCTTCAAAAATCGTACTCAGTGCTGTGGATTCAAATTGCAAACTCACGTATTGACGTACTTTGTTATGATATGAGGATTGTCATACAAGTCCCTCACCCTTACCTATCTCAGTATGGCAATATGCCATATAACCCCATAATTTTAGCTTAAAACAATTTAGACTGTTATAGTTTCTACCTACAAAAAAACTAGAAACGGTTGAATGAAACATCACTTCAAAATCATCATTTTCAACACAAGCATCAGAATTAGAAGTTGTTTGACTCATTTTAAAAAGTTTTGAACCAGTTTTAATGAAATATATATGCATCCATCACCATCAATGCTTGAAAGTTGAATCTGTGCTCCTTCTGTAAAATTTTAATCAAGCAAGAACAACAGGGTTAATATATTATACCATATGTTGCAATGAGTGTACATTGAACATGAGAAGGCATGTATGTATGTACAGTATACATCTGACATATTTGCTTCTTGTACAAAATGTAGCTAGTTTTTCCAGCCAAGGTTGAAAAATCTTCAGAGGTGGTTGACGCATTTAAGATGTCACCATTATTTTTGCTTGTTAACAGCATTAATATGAAGTTTTAAAGTACACACACATACAAATATACATACAAAGTCCCCTTTCTTTACAAATCAAATAATTTGTATAAACTTACAAACCAATTTTCGAATGTTGTTTCTTATATAAACAACACGTGTGAAAATGCAGTGTATATATATAGTATTGTTGTTTCATATGTGAAACATTCATGACTTATTTAATAAAAATTGAAAAATAAGATCAAACATACCAGAGAAAGACTAGATTGAATAAGTTAAATCGAATGAAATTGATTCAAGATCAGATCAAATAAAACCAAGCTCAATTCAAAATGCCAATCGTACCATGAACATTAATGACAAAATATACACACTGCATTGAATAGTTACTTGTCCTATCGAAATAAAGAACCAACAGTTGTTTTGAGAAAGGCGTGTGGGGTGCATCCAATCAAGTGATAACACTTTTATTTATGTGGACGGTATGCAACATAAATTTTATTGTCAGAAAGAGCTTTTTTCAATGATATCATTTTTGTTACAATTATCTATAAATACAGTCTTTGAGCATCATCAACCATGACATAAAAAACACCAAAAACACTAAAAATGATGGACTCTCCGACATCAAAAGAAATATCAACTCCGACCATACACTCTAAAAAACACTGAATGTGTGGGACCACATTAAAATAACATATTTTATGTATTATTAAACAATTTTTAATATAGTAATTATAATTTATAGGGAAGATTTGTTACAATAAAAAGATAATTTTTATTTAATAAATTTTACATTAAAATAACATATTTTATG